ATGACAAGATACCACTTCTAACCAACTTCTGGACTTCAGCTTTCAATGAATAACAATGTTCAATTCTATGTCCAGGGGCTCCCTGATGAAAGGCACAAGTTAAATCAGCTTTGTAGTACCATGACATCTTCTTAGAAACCTTCAGTGAAAGTCGAGTCTGAACCAAATTCCTTTGCATCAGGATAGGGAACAACTCTATATAGTTAGTTGGAATTGGATCAAATTGAGTTTTCCTCTGATTAGAAACTTGCTGATTTGGTTGATGAACTGGAGCTGCAGAAGGTAAATTTAACACAGGGATGATAGGAGAAACATGATGATTCTGGCGATGATTAATTCTTCCTCTTGCTCTCTTCTTGGAAAAGTTATTATCAAACTTTTTCACACCACTAGCTGAGCCACCATCTTCATATAAACATCCCTTTTGGACATCTTCTTCTAGATGCACTCCCACATTCACCTTGTCAAGAAAGTCACTAGGTGCATTAATTATGATATTCTCATGAAAGAATGATTTTAGAATTTCAATGAAGACTTTTGCCATCACTTCTACCTTCCTAGAAGGATTGACTTGGGCGACAACCAAAGTTTGAACCAAACCAGTTAAGTGGTCCATACTAGCTTTCAAATTAGTCACCTCTATGCAGATTTCATAAACCTCTTGCTTGATATTCTCCATTGTTCTCTTAGCGCGAGTGTTGTACTGGTGAGACCAAAGGAAAAATAAGACTTGGAAAATGACCTTTGAAAGTGAAACAAAAAATGTAGGATGATGTATGATATGCATAAGAGATTTTTTTATTTGATTTTCAAGAAACTCACGATATTAAGTTGTAAACATCAAAGTATGAAGATAGAAGATGAATTTTAAATCGGATCAAAATATTGATCAAGTTATCATCAAGATCAATCATCCATTTTGGTGGATTAGGGTTTTCACCCCATCAACACCGAAGATGCATTGAGCTTGACGAAACTTGTGATGTTTACAAAGAAAGACTTCCAAATTCCTTGAGAATCAAGTGAAAATGGTTTCATAGATGCATGAAGGCATGGCTATGCGACAACCACAAGCAAGGTAAAAAACAAAGTTGAAAGTTTCAACGTCACGAGCATGGAGTCACATCTAAAGACCACCACCCAAGGTATGCACTAAAGGTTTAATCACACCTGTAAAACAAGGTTCTAAAAGTTCCCAGAGTCTACAATTTTTCTTTCGGATATTACCAACTTCCCAATTACTCGGTAATTAGCAATATTCTCAAGAAAGACTCGTCTGAGTGCAGTATCGCGTGACAACTACTTTCGGATTACTCCGTCATAGTCTCCGCACTACACCTAAAAAAGCCAAGATGGGTTACTGGTTCTACGACTCTCAACTTCTCTGGCTCCCAGGTCGAAAGCAACAATGTCTTCCGGATTACTCGGTAAACAAATACTACATTTAAAGGGGTCTCCACTGGGTGGGGGATTTCATGCCTCCTTCTTCGGGATTACTCCCTCAAAGTTAACATGACTATATAGCCCGTCATATTCTTAAGTGTAACTTAATCTGGGTATATGACTTATCCTTTATAATCAACACCCAAATAACCACAATATATCACATATAGTCAAATAAACAAGTAATAATAACAAAAAAACAGATATGGCAAATTAGGCTTAACCCACTTAGGGGTGGACCAGCAAGAGGTCAATCTTTCCCCAACAGAGTCGCCAATCCTCTAGCGGTGAAAATTAAAGATCAATTTATTAATTAACTTGACTCGCAAAGCAAGAGTTGCCACCGCGCTTTATTATTTCCAAGGGAAAAGGGAAAAGAGTGAAATAAAACCTTTAAATATGCAATGTAAAGTAATACTTAAAAGTAATGAAAATACAATGCGCTTTTGAATGAGATCTAAATTTCGGGGGTTGGTTATGCAATGGGAAGGTATTAGCATCCAATGCATTTGCGGTACTCTGCATGAACCTTTTGAAATATCTATTTTTGGTTAAAATTGTTTGTTTGATTAAAATGGTTTGTTTGGTCAAAATGGGTGTGAACGAGATTTTGAAGATACGACGACCTAGTGTCGAAGTTTTGACTTAAAAGGTGCGAATTTGAGTCTTTTAGGAAAATTAACTTAAGTTTAACAAAATAGTAAAACAAAAATGAATGAAGGGATTCTCACAATCATGTAACATGTAGTTGATGACATGAAGTCAAAAAAGTTAAAAATATTTCCCTTGGAATAAATCAAACGAGCAAAATAAAATGGACATCAAAATATAAGCATTCGAAAATTCACAAGAAAATAAATCTAACAAAACAAATTAATGACCAAAAGGCACCGAGAAATTAAAATGACAGAGATACTTAAATACAAATAAAGAGAATGTAATTAATCATCTGAAGAAGTTATTTGAACTAAATTAAAATTCTAAGATTACTTGCTAAAATAATTCTAAACTAACTACAAATTCTAAAGTTATAAAAATAATTCTAAAATTACTAATTTAGATCTAAATTAAGTTAAAATTTAAAACTTTAGTAAATTAAATCTAAAATAAATTAAAATCCTAAGGTTACTAAGTTAAATCTAAAACAAATAAAAATTCCAAAGTTATTAAACTAAATCTAAATCAAATAAAAAAATTCTAAATTATTAAATTAAATCTAAATAGAAATTCTAAAGTTATTAAAGCTCTAAAATTACTAAATTATATCTAAACTAATCTAAATTTAAACTAAATCAGAATTTAAAAAAAAAAAACTAAGTTAAATCTAAACTAAATTAAAATTTTAAAGTTTACTAATTAAATTAAAATTAAAATTACTAAAAGAATTCTAAATTTAAACTAATTAGTTCTAATTGAAAAGGAAAATTGTTTGTAATTTTATATGATTAAACTAATTAGTTCTAATTGAAAAGGAAAATTGTTTGTAATTTTATATGATTAAACTAATCAAGCTAATATTAAATCTAATCAACTACATATTTTTTAAGTTACTAGATTGAATCAAAAACAAAATTTTAAGGTTAGTAGATTAAAACTAAATCAAATAAAAAAAATAAGGGGTGATGTTAAAACAGAAAAATAGGGAGTATAAACAAGAAATTCGAGATGGACTTAGGTAGAAAAGCCCAAAAATTATGAATTTTGAAAGCAAACCACTCCACTGGGCTGGACCGGGTCGGATCCAGACCCAACCCTATCTTCCAATCTCACGGGTTGAATAACCCTAGTTTATTCCCTTTAACGCCTCACAATGTCCAAAGGAAAACGTTCGTCTTCTTCTTCTTCTTCCTAAGTCTCTCTCTCTCTTCATTCAAACATCACAACAACAATAATCTATCTACTAATTTCAGTCCTCTCTCTCTCTCTCTCTCTCTCTCTTTGCATTAACTGAACCAAACCTCTAATCTCCCAATTTCATATTTTCTTACATGACCTTAGTATCCTCTATGGCTAATTTCTGAATCTTCCCTTACTGCAAAGATCTCGCGGAATCCCTCTGTTCTTCAACCGGTCCACGTTTCACTCATAAATTCGACCAACATCTCACGATTAATCATTCACCTTCTCACTCACGAGATGTCGCCATACTGATTCTACGTGTTCTTACGATTTTTCACTTTTTACAGTATGTACGCTTATCGTTTCTACTCTCAATTCGCGGTATACAAACAACCACAACGGTAAATCTTGCTCTTCTATCGCTTTTACACTCTCAGGGAATAACTATAACACTGTCTAATTATTCTGCTCAGGTTTTTTACGCTATTTTCTAGTTTCAGCATCTTTACAATTAACGACGACAACATGCCTAATCTCATGATTGCGATTCAAAGGCAAACAACACAACAATATAATGATTATATTCTATTCATACAAACATCAATACAACTCTTCAAAGTAATTGAAGGAAGGCATATTAGACTCACCTTGTCAGAGCTTCGATGTCGGTGAGAGATGCAGGTAATATTTTCTTCCTTAATTTCTTTTCCTTAACTCTAACAATTCTAAAAATAATATTTCTATTGCTTCTGGGATCTACATGCTCTATGATGAAGTTGGGGGAAGACTTGAACATAATGTTGGCAGTATTGTCGTTCTTCTTTCCTCATATTCTCTTTTGTCTGGGTGTTTTTATATGTTATGATGTTGTTCTGTAACTTTCTGCAGGTATTGTTTGAAGCCTTGTGAAGTTCACTTTGGGTTATGCAGGGTTTTAAGTGGACAGAGGCTGCTTATGTTTTGTTATGTTTGAAAAGGATGCTGATGAAGGGGATGAGTGAAGCTAGGTTACAAGTTTGGTTGAAAAGGATTTGAAGGACTTTGAGCAGAATAATTGAAAAAAAAAGATGTGAAAGTTAAAGATGGAGATTCAGTTTTACAACCACTTTCCTGTATGTTTTTTCTTTGGGAATTTTTGTGTTGTCTTGTGTTGTTTTCTCTACTTCCTTCCTCAATAGATCAAATAGATTTTACTTTTTTATCTCCTCGCATTTACTGTTGATGTGGATGTGTTATTGTTGTTACTGCAGTTGTGAAAGCTGTTATTGTTGAAGCTGAGGGAGTTGCTGCTGTTGCATTTGTTGTTGTTGCTTTTTTCTATTTTTTAACACATATTGTTTGATGTTTTTTCCTTCTTTTTCTCCTACTTCTATTGTAGGAATTAGGTGACAATCTTCCCTTTTTGATGTAATCGATGAAGTCTGGTGAAGAGAGTCTCAGTAGAAAATCTTCAACCGTTGCAGTGGTTATTTTTGAGTCTTGTGTTGCTGTTAATGCAAGTACTATTTTAGGATTAGAGCTATGAAAGAGTATAAGAAAAGAGTAAAGTTTTTTGTGTTTTTATTTTTTGGGATTTTTACTGTATGTTGTTATAAGAATCTTGGAGGTTATTCTGATAAAATGTCCTCCTTTTTGTTCCTCTTGCTTCTATTTTTATAGTGAATGTATCATAGAATCAGACGAAAAATTGGAGCCAAATATCAGTTGAATTCTAGTTTATGTCACTGCCTTATGCTTTCTTGATGCAGGAAAAATTTAACCATTATGGGAAATGTTTGGATCAGTTTGCAGCAGGTTTTAGACTATTGGTAGGCTGCTGCTTGGACTTACTTGCGTGTTGTAGCATGGCTGGAAATTTGACAGCTTTTACACAGTTTTGGGACTGTTTTGATGAGAATTATGGCGTGTTTTGTGACAGTTTTTGGCAGCATTGTAGCAGAGTTTTGGACTATTGGAGCAGGGTTGTTTTTTGGCAGCAGCAATGGACAACAACAAGGCTTAACAAGGCATGGAAAATTCTGCATGAAGCACACAAGGAGGATGGTCTTGGTTTGTGTTATTTTGGCATGTTTTTATGTAACAATAAAGTTGTAATAGTGATGATTTGGAATTGATCAAATTACTTGGATGATTCTTGTAGTTTTGTAATCCTTTAAAGGTCAATCTTAAAATATCAAGAGAAAACTCCTAATATTTAGAATTGATTCCAATTAAAATTTGTATCGAAAGTTGTCTTTGAATTTGAAACACATGAATGATGAATGAAGTGGAACTTTGAGAAAGGTCTTGAATAATGCCTTTTTGTGACTTGGGTGAAATTGAATTGAACTTGAATGGTGAACATTTAATTATAACTTCATCCTTGAATGAATTTGAGACTTCTTGAATAAATTTTTAATGATGAATGAACATCTTGTATTTGCTTCTAGAATTCCAAACAAATTACATGAATTGATCTTCAAAATTGAGCAAACTTGAATCATGAGAAATTAGTCCTTTTGTATATCTAAAATCCAAAAGCAAGTTCATATGGATGAGTTGCGCCTTGCACGCTTGAATGATTTAAAATAAAAAAGAATTATTTGAATGGATCCTCAAATCTTCTTCTTTAAAACCCATATCGTTAATTCGTGGTAACTTACAATACGAGCCAATAATACAAATTATGCCTTTAAGAGATTTAATCAGCAACCCAACATAATCAAATGATTTCTAATGTTCAATTGTAAAGGAATTGAAGCAGGAGACAAACAATCAATGAATCATGGAACTAGAACTCTAGTTTCAATAATTATCCCAATATAAGAATCAAACGTCCTTTGTGAAAACGTATGTGGCATAAATTAAACAAAGCACAATTTGACCTCGATCTTTGAAGTAATCTCATAGACAACGATATTTGTGATAATTCACAAAAATAATTGTCTCAGGACATTGAGAATTGAAGAAGTTATGATCGTTTGAAATTGAACTTACAAAAAGTTGACTTTTGATCGAAGTGCTTTAAATCGTCTCACATAGTCTGATCTTTTCTTGCATTCCAAGACGCATTGAAGCACATTTGAACCAGTGATGATAAAATCTTGTTTGTGCTCTGAGGAAGTTGTGGAGAAGCTTGAGACCACTTATCGAACAAGGCATGGAAATAAACACACGATCCTCTAAAGTTTCAAAAGACATCTTTGATCAAAATGAGATTGAATGATGCTTGAGACTCTATGCTCTGAGATTAGAAGTTGTGGCTTGATGAATCAATTCAAGAGTCCACAATCAATCGTGCTTCTGGCTTGGGAGACTCAAAACTCTAATTGAAGTGCGACGCCCGATGCTCTTAATTTAGACCTGTCTTTGCACATGAAACAAAAGAAAACACGAACATACACCTTTATATGCGATTAGAAGTTAGTGATACATAGGCTAAAAATGTTTAAAACACTTGACAATCTCTGCATAGTCAATGCTCGATGGTGAGAGGTTAAAACCGACCTTATTTCCTAACCTTAACTTTTTTATAAAATGCAAAACGAAAATGGGATCTTAGGTTAAAAATTGGGGTATGACAGGTATGTTGAGAACCTTGAAAGGTTAGGGTTTCCCCTTGGAAAGTAAGTTGCAACTGATTTGATCTTGCAATCGTTGCCAGAGAGCTTCAGTCAATTTGTCTTGAATTTCAACATGAATGACATGGACAAAAGTCTTCCAGAGTTGCTAAGCATGTTAAGAACTATTGAGCAAAATGTGAAGTCAAAAGGGAAGTCCATTCTGATGGTCAGTAATGGAAAGAAACTGAACAAAAGTCCCACCAAGCAGGTTGGTAAAGGGAAAGGAAAGGAAGTTTCCAAACCTAAACTTATTGTTCCTGCTTTGAAGCCTAGTGGAGGAATAGCAAAAGAGGGTAGTTGCTTCCATTGTGGTAAGACCGGATACTTGAAGAGAAATTGCCCAAAGTACTTGGAAGATAAGAAGAATGGAGTAGAGACTTCAAATTAATGTATTTTGGTTATAGAAATTAACTTATCTACTTCTGCATCATGGGTATTAGATACTGGATGCGGTTCTCACATTTGTACCAATGCGCAGAGGCTAAAAAGGAGTATAGATTTGGCAAAAGGTGAAGTTAACCTACGAGTTGGCAATGGAGCAAAGCTTCTCACTTTAGCCTTAGGAACTTATGTTTTGAATTTACCTAGTGGTTTAATAATTCAGTTAGAGAACTGTTATTATGTACCTGCAATTAGTTGGAATATCATTTCCGTTTCTTGTTTGGAACAATTTGGTTTTTCATTCATAATCAAGAACAATTGTTGCTCCATTTACTATGATATATTATATGCTTATGCACAAATGAACAATGGACTGTATGTCCTTGATCTTGAAATTCCAATTTATAAAATTAATACTAAAAGGATTAAACCTAATGAGTTAAATCCAAGTTACCTTTGGCATTGTCGCTTAGGTCACATAAATGAGAAACACATTTTCAAACTCCCTAAAGATGGACTCTTGGACTCTTTTAATTATGAATCATATGAGACATGCATGTCTTGTTTAATTGGAAAGATGACAAAATCCCCATTAACAGGAAAAGGTGAAAGGGATAACGATCTTTTGGCCCTCATACATAGTGATTTATATGGACCACTGAACATACCAGTCAAAGGAGGTTTTCAATACTTCATCACATTTACTGGTGATTTCAGTAAATATGGTTATGTGTATTTAATGAAACACAAATATGAAACCTTTGAAAAGTTCAAGGAGTTTAAGAATGAAGTACAAAACTATTGTACCCCAAAATTTTCCCTCTTTTCATACACGCATATTATTGGTTTTATGGTTATGGAATAAAGGTATATTTATCAAGCTTTTTCAGGTTACAAGTGACGTTTATTTCGTCAATGGATATTCTCAGAGTATTTTCCGTGCTGAAGATCGGTTCGCTGTTTTGCAACGATTCGGGGTTCAAAGATTCACAAGTCCAACCCAGCGCGTCATATTCAGGTGTTCTTTCGCCAAGATATCTCTAATAACGTATTCTCAAATTCAGGTTCGGCTCAAGAGTCAATTCTTTAAAGAAGGTCTCCGAATGTGTGAGTTTTCTCGAAGAAATATGGTGAAAAAGTGTGTTGAAAGTGTAGTTTTTACGCACTAAAAAATTCATAACTTGATGATCGTGGCTTATCTTGAACCTGTTCCGGTGGCCAAAATTCTGTCTTGACGTCATCATTGTTTTCATCTCTCACAGCTTGAAGCCAATTTCGATCAGAATGTCTTCAAAAATGCGGATTTATCAAGTATTTTCGTACAGAAAATTTGTGACAAATTTATTTGCGTCATGTTCAGAAAATCATAACTTGGTTGATTTTCACCGTATCGAGCTGGTTCCGGCGCCAAAATTTCACAAATTGAGTTGACCTCATTTTCACAGGAGGTATAAAGCTCGAACGGTATTCAAAAGGCCTTCTTTTTTTTCTCAAAGTGCGTGTGACGCGCCGAAAATCCTGAATGCTGAATATTATTTCATCTGGGTCGAAACTTCGAAAATTCATAACTCGGTCAATTTTTATCGGATCGGGTCCATATTTTTACACAAGTTTACTGACTCAGATACCTACAACTTTTATTCCAAAGTCGATACCGGATTATGCTCCGATCAATACCAATTTTTTATTGAAGAACGTGTCAGAGTCAACACTGGAGCCCAAAATAAGTTTGTCTGAGCTGAAACTTCAAAAATTCATAACTAATTCATCGTTTATCCGATTGAGCCCATTTTCAGACAGAAGTTAGTTCTCGATGTCGGCTACATTTTGTTTTCACATTTTAACTTCAAAAATTGCACTTAAGCCCCTACGATTTAGCCTGGAACATCACGGACTCAAGTGAACATTGGAGGCCCAATTGCATATTCAAAGCCCATATCTTTGCTCTAATTTCCATTATATAATCTCTTCATTTCACACAGACGGAAAAAAAACCCTTTGCCACAACCCAGTTAGAATATCAAATTCTTTCAAGAACCCTAAAACCTTGAAATCCTTATTACAAATCCCCATCTCACTACAAACAAGCCATCCCTGTTACAAACCCACATTTCACTACTTCTCCAGTAAGGGTAAGGCTGGTTTGATCTCCATGATAAAAAGGGCATAGAAGCATTCATATTACTACTCCTCCAGTAAGGGTAAGACTGATTTGATCTCAATGTTCAAAAGGGCGTAGAATCATTCATACAACCCATATCGGTTTTAACATTAAAAAATGTTTATATTTATTTTCTTTGTATTTCATGATATAGTAACTTATTTAATGTGTTCATGAGATTCAACACTGCAGATTTAGACAGGATTCCATGCAGGATTATTACAGAACGTTGAGGCTAAAACACTAATGGCCAAAATAGAACAACCACCAATGCATGGCGAGGCAAACATCCTGAGAAGGTTAAGGGCGTGGGTTCAACAAACACCCCTATTGGTTTTGGTTTTATTCCTTTCTATTTATCCTTTTACCTATTTTTATTCTTTCTGTTTAGATTTTTTTTTCATAAAACTTAACATTTTTCGCAAACCTTTGATTTTTCCTCCTAAACTTGAATAATTAATTTTATATTATTTTAATTTAATTGTAGGTTTTAAATTAATTTTTGGTTCAACAACCACCCTTGACATTTGCATTATCTTTATTTTCTAACTTTATTTTTCATTGATGTTTCTTCCCCTATCTATTTTTCATTGACATAAACTTTTTTTAAAACCTTTTTTTATTAAAATTAATTAGGTTTTATGTTTTTTTAATTAACCTTTTTTTCAAAACAAACCTTTTTTTAATTCAAACAAATTAGGATTAGGTTTTTGTTATAATTAGTAACTGAATTTTTGGATTTTTTTCATTTATTAATAAATTAAGGTAATTAACTTTTTATTTATTAAAATTAGTTAGAATTAGGTTTTTTAATTAACTTAAAATTATTTTCTACAAAAAGACACCAAAAACATTAACTTATAATTTTAGGTTTTAATTTCTCCTTAATTTCTTTTTATTTATTATTTTACATTTTAATTTCTAGAAAAAAAAACCGTATAGATCGCATTATCAATGTAATAGCGTAGAC